CAAAGTACCTCCTAACCACACAATGTGGTTAATATACCTTATGCATTAAATGATTTCAAGAGTAAACAGTCTTGGCTTCAAAGCTCCTGTTAACAAAGCCAGTGTCGTTAGCAAAAATATGAAGCAAACATCTATTAAGCTGACATGGAATTTTCTCCTGATAGGAAGTTTTAGGAACTTAAGTGTCAAAGAAAGAGACGTGGAAAGAAAGTGCAAATATCAGTACCTCATCTCCAGTATAAGATCCATTAAGAAAATGACAGGAATTAATTTTTCTGGGTCAGAATTGTTTTGGGGATGTCTCTGCTAGTCACAAATTACACGTTGGCCCTGACGGATATATTATTTTGGCAAAAATCCGAAATGTGGGCCTGGCTGTATACAGTTCTGGCTGTGCAGATAGCTGCTGTTTTCCCCAGCCTTGGGAAGGTGTGAAGAGCTCCTGCTTCTCTCACTGGGTTGCTCCAATCCAGCGCTCTGACTCAGTGATGAGAATGTAAATGCAAAAGTTGAAAATTAATGCTCTGTGCTTTTACTAAAGATAATTTGCTGATTCTTTAAATCAATCCAAAGCAAGCCCCTGAGGTATACAGAATAATCTTGTGGTCTTGTGAATGCTGTGAGCACTGGCATCTGCTCTGCCTGATGGGCTCTGCAGCCTGTGTCTAAAACAAAGTTGAGTTTATGCTGTGAGCTGCAAGCTCTTCAGATGTAAGGATAAAACTGGGAAGAGCCAGGTGAACTGGGAAGAACTGAATCTTTACTTGAGCTTCAGAATGGGCACAAATATTGCACATGGTAAAATGTTTTATTTAATGTACCTGTCTGTGAAATGAGCCTAGGCTAGGTTGTTCACTTTTGGAGGAATTTGGAAGGTCTGATGTAGGCGTAGCTGCTGGGCAGGCTCTCACCTGGCTGGACTGCTTTGCATTCCAGTCCAATGCGTAGCTGCCGTTGTCCCTCCTCTAATGAAATTGCACATTTCTCACCTACCTCCCTTGAAGGACTTCTGAGGTTGCTCAGTCTGGACAAGAGGAGGCCCAGGGGTGACCTGTTCAAGTCTACAACTCTGTACAGCTGCCAGAAAGGAGGTTGTGGTGAGGCGGAGGTCAGCCTCTGCTCTCAGGTAACTATGATAGGACAAGACATAATGGCCTTAAGTTGCACCAGAGGAGGTTCCATTTGGATAATAGGAGCAATGTCTTCTCAGGAAGAGTGGTGAGGCACTGGCATAGGCTGGAGATGGGGGAGTCACTGTCCCAAGAGGTGTTCAAGAACCATGGAGATGTGGCACTGAGGGACGTGGGCACTGTGGGGATGAGTTGATGGTTGAACTGTAAGATCTTAGTGATCTTTTCCGATCATGATTCTGTGATTCTGTGACTTCAGAGATCAAAGAACAGAGTGTTGTTTTATCTCCAGAGAAATCAGCCATGGAGAGAGCATTGAGACTGTATCCTTAGAGGAAATAGATTTCTGCAGCTGCAGAAGCTGTCAGCAGAGGAAGGTTCTGACAGAGGGCAATAATGAAAACAAGGTGTGTGGTTAGGATGGAGCACAAGCAGTGTGTGAAAAGGATGTCATGTAGCTGAGATACCTGCGATAGCTCATTCCAGCTTAGGTAACTTGGAGGACAGATTGCTTCCTTAAATGATAGATAGGGTGAAGTCATCCTCTGGAATTAAGGGGAAGTTTCCCATTGGCGTATATCACCTTTGTATCATGGATTTAATAACAGCTTAACATAGGCTATTAAAATCTTTCTGGGTATCTATAATTTCTTCCATTGCTTTCACTACAAACAAACAATTAAGCTGATGACTCCACCACACTAAGAATTAAAATAAACACATTGGGGATCATATTCTTCAGATATCTGTTTTTCTGAGAAACCCCACGGAAGCCCCAGTGGAGAAAGGAGTATTGCTTGGGTTTTTTTTGTGGTTTCTGGTAAATACAGCATTGCTGAAGTGAGCATGGATGTGTTTGCTTTCATGCTGGATGCAGTGGGGATGTATTTTTTGTTTTTGGCTGACTATTGAGAGCTTTCAGCTTCGTGTGCTACACCCACAAAATTGAAGTGTTCTTATAAATCACTATGCTTTGAAAAAAAAGGCACACAATACCAATTTTGATTAATTTGAAAAATAATAGGTGTAAAAAAAGGGCCCTGAAAATGTCAAGAGAAAACTCTTCAATTATCTTTTCACTGATTTCAGGCAGTAGAGTGATTTTTATCTATTCCCGAGTAACCTGGGAGTCCCTCTGTAGATATCCTCAAATAACAGAATTTGCTTCTTGGTTAAAATCATGCACGAAAATGTCAGACCCCAAAATGGTACCTTTGTGTAGAAATACCCAACTGCTGGACAGGTGCAGAGGGAATGCCATCGAAATGCCAATGTGAGCCTGGATTCTACGTGAAGCAGAACACGACTGCTGACTTTGCAGGGTAACCCCGTCTTTCAGAAATCAGTTCACAGTCCCTCTTAACAAATGAGGATGAAGGCTTTTTTCTTTGCAGACTGGAAAGGTGTTACTTTGTGGGGACCCAGAAGTATTGATCTTAGAATGAATTTAGAAGAACGTAGAGAATTCTGAGAAGGCCTGAGATTACTGACATACTTTTTTAATGATGTCATAAATCACATTGGCATAAGCACTGATTTTTGCATAATTCTATTTGAATGAATTTTCAAAGAGTGCATATATGACTGCTTAGCTTGTTTTTTTTTTTCAAATTATACCATTTAATGGCCTGAAAAATCAGTGCGCCATTAAAAACTGAAGTTCAACATTACCTTTCATATAAATCCCTGTGCCTGAGGTTACAGCTTATCTGCATTTTCTTCAATGTAACAAAGCTTGGGTTTCATTCACGTCTTTCAAAAATTGAAAAAAATGGAACATCAATTGAGAGGATCAAAAGGATGCTTTTGATTTTCCCCCATGTTCCTGAGCTGCAGGGCTTTAGAAGGCCTGGTTGGATAAATAGCTTTGATTTTCTTTTGCTTTGTTTCAAAGAAAGAAGAGATTTTCACCTTTTTTAAATTTTTTTTTTGGTCAGATAAACTCCATTAAAACATGTCAGTCCTTTTTAGAGTTCAGCTGATAGAGATGAATAAAAAGAACTCAAGATCTGAGTCAAGGGGCAGATTTCGTTAAAATAACTGATTTATATTATTGTGTTTTCCTTTTCTAAAACCAAGTTCCATTTGTTTGAGCCTTGGCATCAGTAAACCTAGTACACCCTCCTTCGCTTATCGGTGTGACAAAGATTTCACTTAATTTGATGAATTTATGGGATGACAAATCAGGCCAATGAAATGTGGAAACAGAAATGACCCAAGTTGAGTTGCCTATATGGAAATATTTGAGGCTGAGCCAGCAAGGAATTTGAGTACGGTTTTATGAGTGTTTGTGGTTGTTTGGTTGTGGAACATAAAAGGTTTTGTTCTGACTGTTGTCATTACTGGATTCAAATATAAGCGACTATTTCTCCACTTAACCTTTAAGGTGAAGACCGTGCATGATTCCTGCACAGCTGGACTGCTCATCTTTCTCGATTTCTGTCAAAGTTTCTGGGCCAAGTACCATCAAGCTTACAGTCACCGATGAACTGTTGAATTGGTGAATTCTCATGCAAGTGGCATGTTGTGGGCCGCAGTGTGTGTCAGCAGCACCCAATGTGTTGGACCAAAGTTCCTCTCTGTTTTTTAACTCTGCTCTCATGAGCAGCCCTCCTGCTTACGAGCAATCAAATAACTTTGGTTTGTGTTATTCATCTGAAAGATGTTTTTCTTCTTTCTCTCTTCCCTAAAGGAGCAGGTAATTAAAGTCAAGAGAGAGACTGTGAATTAAGTCGAGGAATGCCTTCATAAATTCAGGCTACTAACCAGAAAAGGAAAAGCAGAAAAACCAAGATGCTCACCAGCCCCTTACAGATCAGTGAAAGTGTGTCCTGCTAATGTAGGCCAATCTGAGAGCTTATCCTTTCTCTCTCTGCTGTCAGGATTTCCTATATAATTTCCTGAGTAATCCAGCTACAGGCAGCAAGGAGAGGAGGCTGGGAAATCAGCCAGGCTGTAAGGGAGGTGTAAGGAGGCTTGTAATCTTCAAAGATTTTCTCTGCTCACTCTTGTTTTCTTTCATATCTCTCCTGTGTGTTTTGGGGCTTTCACTTTGTAATGTCCGTTTCTTCTCTCAACAAAATCATTAGGTGTTTGTCTTTCATTCCAGTGGGTATAGGAATAAACTGTAAGCTCAAAGCTGCTCAATTCAGGCTTTTCTTTCCAAGGCGATCCAACCAAGATTTAGCTTGATTTTTCTTTTATTTTTTCCTTGCTGAAGAATATATGAAGAATGTATTTGAATGAAAACAGAACTGTTTGTTCAACCAAAAGGAAGGGTTTCGTTTGGAAAGACCTCTAGAGAAAGCAAATAATTGAAAAAGTCAGATCTGCAAGATCTGGAGGAAAAATGCTGATGGGTCCTGGCTTTAATCGAGAATTTCCTTAGGTAAAGCATACCATAGTGCAGGAAGCACAGATTTGGTTCTGTCATCTGCTGGGAGAATTGGAAGTCACATCTCTGGCTTTCCAGTGGAAACTTGTACCCGGAAAAGCCCTGCAACCTGCTCCTAGGAGCCCTCTGTATGGAGAGCCTTCAGAAGGCGCAGTGTTTTCCCTAAGAATTCAAACAAAGGGAGACTAATATAAATAGACAAAATGGAGAAGGCTGTGTTTTAATCATTGTCATTTGCTAAAGGCTCATTGTCATTTGCTAAAGGCTGTCTATGTTCTTGTGCTGTAAAAGAGTCAGCAAGGATAGTCCCATGAGATGTAATCAAACATCTCATTGTCATCAGTGTCCCTGTAACCTTTTACAGAAGTGGGTCAAATAAATGACCTTTTTGTGGTGGCTGTGAAAAGTCCCCAGTCCTCACTCATTGACGTTTGGGTGAATTGGGTTCCTTTATTCTTTCCTTCTTCCTTTTGCAGGGAAGGCTGCTTCTCCCCCATCAGCCCGGAGGCATGTCCCCTTGTGCAGTCCTTTATGTGCCACAACAGGACGTTCCTCCTTGATGGCCACGTGCAGCTGAAGACAGGCCTACAGACCCAGGAGCGACACCTCTTCCTCTTCACAGACCTTCTGGTTGTTGCCAAGTCCAAGTGAGTATGGCATCCCCTCCTACAAAGTAGCCTTTTTTTTCAGTAGAGGTATTCCTTCGTGCTTTTTCGGTAGTAAATCTCCCCTAAATCATCAAGCAGCTTTTTTTTGTCAACATGAGTTAGGTGCCTGAACTCAGCAGTCACTTTTGTAGACGCTAGAACCCATAGCATCCAGGCCACAGTACAGAGCAGCAGCAGATGTTCTTGAATACACTGCTTGCATTATATCACGTTCCCTGCCTTGGGAACTGAGTGTTATAAACTCACCACTGCTCAGCGTGTCGCTTGGGATGCCTTGAACTGAAAGTTGCTAAGGGTTAGGTGTTGCTGTGTTGGAGGCTACAGACTTTCGCACTTACCTGGGAACTACTTTGATGCTCTCTAATGATCATAGAATCATAGAAGTTTTAAGGTTGGAAACACAACTAAGATCATCTAGTCCAACCATCAACACATTCCTGTGACCACTCTAGGCAATGTCACTCAGTGTGACATCCACCCTTCTCTTGAAAACCTCCAGGGATGGTGATTTCACCACCTCCCTTGACAGCCTATGCTTCACCACTCTGAGAAGAAAGATTCTGAGCAGCTGATGAGCAGCTGCCTAAGAACAGAGGTCACGGGCAGCATCACAGTGCTGTGCCAGAAGCAGCATGAGGATAGGAAGCAGTGCTCAACGGTCTGTGCTGAGCTCCTGTGCAGTCAGGCTTGCTGCTAAGCTCTGATTGTGCACTCTACCATTCACAATTAAATCAGATTTACAAGCTGTGTCTAGCATGCCAGCTTCATGCAGCATTTGTAGTTTAAGGCAATTCTAGAGGGTGCTTTCGCTTGTTGTTATGGGGAAATAACCATAAAGGATCCTGAAGCAGCTTCATTCTCTGTTAGGCACTGTTTGTAGTCTCACAGGGTGGGTAATCTCAATGTGAATCCTGGGCTTTTGCAATGTGTCTCTTCACTTAAGCAGTTGTTTCAGAGGCTGCTGGGAAAAGCCAGAATAAATCTGCATTTTCAGTAGAAATCTGAGCATTGTCTGTTTGAATCACACACAGTAAATACAACCCCCAGAAGAACTCCTTCACCTTATGTAGTGTGACAACATGGAGAATATTGTACCCAAACATGCTCTGCTAAGGTTGTTTGGTGAACACTGAGATTTTTACAAGGCATCTTACTGTTCTACCAACAGTTGCAGTAATATAATTGTTTCTGCATTTGTTTGTGACTGTGTTGTATTTAGGCTGGGATTCAACGCAATTTAAGCTTTCAAATGCTATGTATTTGTAACTCACCTGGGCTCCTTTGTCTCAGTAGAGGAAAGCCAGCACCTCCCTGTGGCAAACCCACTCCTTTAGAAAAGAGCATCAGCAGTGGGGAGGGGACTGCTCAGAGGCATCACCTCACTGCCTTAGGTGTGAGCTCCTGAGCTGTGGAAGGCTGAAGCCAGGTGAGATGAGTGCCTCCCACATGGTCAGCATGCTGAGTCCCAGGCTGGGCTGTGCATACCTGCAGGCCTGACTGGCTCCCAGTGGCATTGGAAAGCCCTATTCTGTGTCACCACTCTAAAATATGGTCCCTAGGGAGTAATAATGGCTCTTACAGCACTTGATTTAATGTGGTGAGGAGTCTGCAATGTTTGATGGAGTTGGAACAGAACAAATTGTGCTTCTGTATGTGGAAAGAAAAGGGGAGAAATAAGCCACATCTTTGCTAGAAGTGGTAAAAATAGTAAAGTGATATCACTTCATGTATTTTGAATTATATTCATGCATTTTAAAGAACTCATTGGAATGTTCTCTCTACAGCTTCCCTGACAGCAATTAAAGCATCACAGCTGTCACTAATGAACACTATATGAAAATCAGCATTTTTAAAGGTACCACACACCAAAATACCATTTCTGATTCCTAAAGGAAAAACCTGAGTGGTATGTACTGCTCTGCAGCCGTAACTAGGGATTGCTGTTGACTTTCTAATAGTGGATGCAGAGTCGGGCCAGAAGGTCACCAGGATAATGTCTAGATGGAATTGATACAGCAGAGTCTGATTTAACTTCAGGGTTATTCCATGCACAGATGCTAAAAATTTGTAATATTCTTTTCATTAGGCAGTTTTTTCCAACTTGGAGCCTATACGTATCTAAGAGATGCCTCTTAGATGCAGCTCAGTACATTGCCAGTGCCAACTGAGCTGGAAGTAGCTGGTCAATGCACAAGGGAGCTCATGTGTAATTAGACTTTGTGTGATTGGCAAATGGGCATACATTTTTCCAAAGAGAGCAACAAATAACTGGTGTCTTCTAAGCTGGCTGAGCAAAGTCCTGCCCAGCACTGAGCTCCTGCTTGAAAGGGATGAATTGGCATTGCTCCCATGGAAATGTGGGGAGGTGAGTCCTCTCCACAGCTGATCTGGTGTGACTTTGAACAAGGTACCTATCGGTCCATTTTCTGATACTTCCTAATCGTTTTTGAAATGCAGATTGTTATCTTTTCAGTTCACCCATTAACTCAGCTTATGAAAAATAAGACTAATACTCTGTGCTTGTCTGTCTCCTGTCCCTTCATTTAATGCCTTCATGTGAGGATTGCCATACATTAATTAGTTGGTTGGTTGTTTTGTTTTTTTTTCACTAAACCAATACTAAGGGTGCAGAATTGTATGCTGTTTTCCATTTACTAATTAGATTTCTTCCAGAGACTGTGTGTTTTAATTGGGCAGAGTAAATATTTCAAGGGTGTTTCAGTTCACCGATCAAGGTTTCTCACATAAGCTTTTGTAAGGGAAGGAAATGGACTCCTCTTTCTTCTCTCTAACACATACACACACTTATACATGTTCATTTTAGGGTTACTTTCCAAACTTGGTTGGACATAGAGATTAATGGTTGAGTAAATACGTGGAATTACGGTAGCGATTGCCCACTAGTTCCATTAATGCTTTTGTCAGAAGGTCCTATTAAGAGGATTAGCAAATCTAGTGAGAAGTTAATCTTCCATCTGTTAACAGCCTCAAGGTATCCAATTGCCACTTACAGAAAGCCAAAGGATCTGAGTTTGCCCTGCAGAGGTAAGACAACTTGGGGTACATCAGTACCTCCACCACTGATGAGCATGAATTTTCTGTGATTTCAGTGCAAATTGGATCTGCCTGATCTTTTCAAGACTGCTTTAAAAAAAATGATCTTGGATAAAAATCATCTTTAAAAAAAAAAAAAAAAAAAAGGAGATACTCCTTCCATTTTTCCAATGTTCAGCCATGCTTCTTCCTTAGTCAGTAATGATAAATCCACTTCTAGATGTAATGCCTTGGCACTTAAATAGACGACTCACCTTTCAGCAGCACTGAGAACTCATGGACTGGAGAAAGATTGTGGCAGATAGGGATAAAATTATACCTCGGGCCCTTTAGATGTTAATAGAGGCTCCCCTTTCAGCGCCTCTAGAAACCAGGCCACTTGAATACTGATGATAGCTGAGAGCTGTGACTAGGCATGGCAAATAGGGTAAGGATATACATCAGGAACGACGGGGAGAGCAGATCTGTGCTTCACCCTGCCAACACCTGCTGCTGGCACTGCAGGGGCCTGGCTTTATGAACTGTAAATGTTAAGAAGTAAAGCAGCCTGTAGAGAGTTTACTGTACTGAATACTGGGGAAAAGGTATTGAGGAGAAAGGGAAGCTCAGCAGACTTATCCCCAGCATAACCCCAATCTTAATGGTGCTGTCAGGCCAATCACCCATTTATTAAGATTTACATTACAATTTATGTCTGTATTTGGCTGTAAGTCTCCATTTATACAGTTCATTCTGTGGACAGTCTGCTACAGTCCTTTCTGTATTCATCTTATCTGCTAGATCACAATTGGCTCGATGATGAGCGTATTGAAATATTCTAAGCTTCTTTTGGACAGGGTAACAAAGTGTGATAGCTTAAAGAGAACTGAAATGTTCATCTGGCCGGAAACACTATGGTATGGTTTAAAAAATGCATGAGCTTGAGATGGTATTTTACAGTATTTTACAGTGTTCTCATTCAAGTGCATCTTTTTGTTGTGGTGAGGACTGGAGGTCTTTTCTTTCCCAGCACTGTGAATGTGGCAGGGCTATCAGCAGTGCTCTGTCCAGAGATACCTGTTAGCACAATGTCAGCTGGACCAACTGAGGTTCTGCAAGTTCATCGCAACCCTCCTTAGAGCTGCAAACTCCAAGTGCTTTCATGCTTCAGACCGTATTAGTTCAGTCTGTCCTAAATCAAATACCTTGTAAACAAGACTAATCTCAGAGGAGGTAGTCTTTGTGTACCAGAGCCCTAAGAAACTGCTTACCTGGCATATTTATTTATAAAGCACTAATCGCCATGCTGCCTGGTGCTGTCCCCATCCATATTTGCAGCAGTGCGATGAGCTGATATGCTCTTGTTTGCAATCCTCGGATTAGAAGAGCCTTCAGGGAAGTGCCATTTATTCTTCAGCCTTTCCCTGCTAGTACAGCAAGCTCGTGGTTTTAATGTAAATTAAATTTCAAAAGTTTAGAAAAATCATGTAAAATACCTTTTTTGTAAATAAGTAGATATTTTGAGAACACAGTGGGTGTTCTTAAAGGAGAAGAACTTTGCAAAGATGGACCTGGGGGTTCTGATGGACATACAAACATGAATCAACAATGCTCCTGAACACAAGTCAGCAATATGCCTCTGCCTCTAAGAAGGCAAACAGTATTCCTAGCTGCATTTTGCAAAGCATTGTCATCAGATCAAAGGAGGTGATCCTTCCCCTCTCCTCAGCTCTGGTCAGGTCACATCTGAATTGCTGAGTCCAGTTCTGGGCCCTCCAATAACAGAGACACATGGACATGCTGGAGTGAGTCAAATGAAGGGTCGTCAAGATAATGAAAGGACTGGAGCACCTCTGCTGTGAGGAGAAGCTGAAAGAGCTGGGTCTGTTCATCCTGGAGGAGAGGAGGCTCAGGGGGGTCTCATCAGTGTCCATAAATGTCTGGAGGTAGGGTGCAGAGAGCTCAGAGGCAGGCACTGCTCAGTGGTGCCCAGTGCCAAGATAAGTGGCAATGGGCACAAACTTGAATCAGGAAGTTTCCTGTAAACATGAGGAAGCACTTGAACCAGATGACCTTCAGAGGTCCCTCCTATCCTTAGCCATCCTGTGATGCTGTGAAGTCCTGCAGCTAGTCTGTGGAGGTCTGACATGACCCAGGCTGTTGTGTCTTTCCTGAGGAGTAGCTTTTTCAGTCTGATTGAGTTATTGCTATTCACAGTCAGCGTAGTTGTTGACCGTGGAGCTAAGCAATCATACTGTACTGTTAACACCTCAGCAGCGCTGAAGTTGCTGAAGTCCAAGAGTGATTTTGCCTGACGGTGAAATTTGGAAGTGAGCTCCAGACACGGGCAGTTTTGTCACAGAAAGCAAGATGCCAAGGGACCTGTTTATCTCACATATCAATTCTGCTGATCTCACTTAGATCAGAAATTGCTCTATTTTCACATGCAACGCAAACAAAACATTGATTTCTTTAACTAAAGCAGAAGTGCTCTTTCCATCAATTCTCTTCAAATGTGCTCAAAGGAAGAGGAAATTCTGAGTTATTTAAGCTGTCTTGTTATGTATTCCTGTGTGTGACAAACGTGTGAATTTCTGCCATCAGGTCTCACTCTCATTTCAAACTGAAGTGCCAAGCACGTCTCTGTGAGATGTGGACAGCATTTTGCACAGAAGAAGTCTGTGAAGGCAGCACCGACCCAGATAGGTCCTTTGTTTTGGGCTGGCCCACCACAAACTGTGTGGCAAATTTCAGGTAAGAAACGAGGCATGTTTTATTTAGCAAGTTACTGAAATGTGTTTAGGCTGAGAGGCTGAGACAGCCATAGAGTCATTTCAGCACCAGTGAATATGGGAGGGAAGAATTAATCGATTCTAAAAGTAGTTCCCTCTACTGCTGTGAGCAGGTCGCCCTCCGTGCCCCATCTTCAGTCTCTGCAAATGTAGCAGCAGTACACTCTCTTATCACTTAAAAAATCTGAGAGAGCATGTGATTTGGCAGAGCACTGTCTGTGCTGCAGACTTGCTCGGTTGGAAGTCTCTTTTTGTTGTTTTCGGTTTTTTTATATAATTGGAACATACTTCAGTTAATTAATGAAATGAATTAGAAATAGTAAACAACGAAGCTAATGATAGCATCCAAGAGACCCTTGTAGGACAATTTCAGGCAGAAATGCTTGTACTGGAAGTAACAGGAGACATAGGGCAAAGTAGTGACTTTTTTTTCCTATTTCTCTCTTTCATAAAATTATGCCAAAGAAAATGTTAAAATTCCTCCTGAAGCAAAATCACTGAAAGATTTTGGTCCATCTTTGCAGCATTGGCTGTAGGACACATAAGGGCTATAGAGGTAATGTCAGTGATTAGGCTAATTTCACTCTCAGTGAGAGGGCTGTCATCTCTGTGTGCGAGGGAGTGCAGTGTCACCCTTAAATTCCAGATAGTGGTTGTGTCTTGAAAAATGCATTTTCCTCTTTACCATCAGAGCAAAAAGCAACATGGCTTGATTTTACATCACATTGTCCTTATCCAGAGTACTGTGCACAAACTGTTCTTTGTTGAGATGTTTGTTCTGTTTGTGACTTTTTGTTTGTTTGTTTAATAATGCTGAAACAAAACTTAAATTTTCTATTGATTTTGAATTGATCTCCTGCCAATAAACATGAGCTTTGATCTGGAGATGCTATAGGATCCTTTATAGCTATTAGAAAGTAGGAGAGAATGAAAGCAATAGCACCAATGCAGAATCAGAGATCTATAGAAGGGAAATTGTTTTAGGAGTGGAAGTGCATAGAAAATATAAAACACAATGTGTGAGCCCATAGATAGCATATCCTACAGAACTGAAGCAGCCAAAGCAGAATCACAGTTACAGTGTTTGTGAAGTGTATGCCCCTGAAGCAGCATCATTCAGTAGATTTGTAGTTCCCTAAATGCCTGCTCTGAAAATGTGAAGAGCCTGATTTGCATAAGTAGCAGAGGGAATAGCAGCTACTCCATCTGGGGCAGGATGTAGATGAAGGAAGTTGGCACACAATTAGGTTAAATTTCTTGTGCTGTCCTATTATTAGCTACATTTACTTGGGTAGTTTTTTATCCTTGAAAGTGCCGAAGCAAGACGGATGTTAAAAAGTCCAAAGCATTTCTAAGTGAAATGATGTATGTGTACTTTGTAACTTGGTGGTAAGCCAAGTAGTAAATAAGAAGATAAATAAACAGTGGAAATAGAAGGAAGCCTATGTACCTGAGGAAATACCTTTATGCTTTTAAATTAAGCTTTCATTTTTAAGCAGAGTACTCTTCTCTTTGGACATCAGTTCCTTACTGAATTCACAGTAAAGCTTTGATTCCTGTGATCAAGATAACAGCTGGGGCTTTTGATCTCCCTGGCAGGCTCTCCTGTTTTTTAGGGAAACAGCTTTTTCATTCAAATTTCAAAAACTCTTTTATTTTTTGTATATATTTATGGCATTTGCAATCAAGAAGCAGTGCGTTTCACTGTGATTTGTTCAGGGGCTCTTTTGCTATTAGAATGACAGCTGATTTGTCTCTCTTTTTCTGTAATTCTTGCAGGTCTGCAGAACAGAAGGAAACGTGGCTCTCCTTTTTGCAAAGGTACTTTATTGTAGAGTCTTTGAAGGCACTGGAAAAAGTCACAGTCATCTAGACCAGTGATTCAATACAAATGCCATAATTATAGTAGCTCTTTCAAAGAAAGAAAAAAGTCATTCCACACCTTCTCCCTGCTGAGACCTGCATGTGCCCTCTGTGCACCAGTACTTGGTCAAGGAGGAAAACTCTTTTCCTTGTTTCTGACCATTGCCCAACAGAAAACTGAAGCTATTTGTAATGTGTTTCCTTTCCTTTGCTGTTGAAGTATACACTGCCACCTTCACTCTAGTTGAGACTTGGCTCTTTCAACATTGATGGCATCTAACCAAGCCCAGCTCAGGAACTTCTGTTCTAACCTATCTGCTGCTCATGGCAGTGGAGAGCAGTGGGGCTAACTTCGGTTGTATGAAATGTTCCCTCAGCCAGAGGTTATACACAAGACTGGGTAAATAGAGCTCTGATTTCAGTCAACGTTTTTAACAGAATACTACCAGAAGTGATTTTGGTTTCTCCACAGCTATATTTTCTGTCTTTATTTCATTCTTTACAGTTCATAGGGCTGTTCAAGTCATTCCTGCTGGGGATGATTTCAAATTCACTCTTCTCCTGTTCAGTCCTTTTCACTGTTTAGGACAATGAACTGGAAATGATTTCAGCAGATGCTGATAGTACAGCCTAAGACATTACAGTGATTAGTAGTTTTATCTCAATTTCTGTTTAAAACTGTCTTGACTTTGCTGCAGCCCATTCTTCATAGTTAGGCCTAGTTGTATAGACACTCCTGTGCAACGATTCTTCTCAGGAATTAACATCCTTCATAAGTAGTTGTCATGGTCTCAAATAATCACAATCACTGAATTATGCCACAACCTGATTGTTCATTGCGGGGGAGTTGGACTAGGAGGCCTTTAAGAGTCCCTTCCCACTCAAACAATTCTGTGTTTCTATGATTCTAAAGCAGAGTGATGTCATGTTGATGGTCTCTTTAAAATGAAAACTTCAGGGAAGTCTGCATGTTGATTTTAAATCTGGTTCTTCTGCTGTTTACACTGATTTCTGCAATGTAGCAACTTGGACACAACAAGACATTAATAGGTACCATGGGCAGTATCCCCTTCAGGCTGTGCTGGAGGCTTTCCTTTCCTCTGAGGTCTTTCAATTGCAGTAGATCTGAAAATGATCTGCTTCCTTCTAAGTTTCTGCTTGCTATTTGAATGTTGGTCTTTATGCTTACTATGTTAAAAATTCACTTGTTTTGCATTTGTTTTGGCAGTCGAATAAGGGAAGAGAAAGAAAAAGACTATCCTAAAAGTATTCCTCTGAAGATAATTGCAAAGGATGTTGGAACCTGTGCATATGTAAGTGCTCTAATGGAGGGGTATAAATTCACATCATCTGTATATCTTGTGCATGTCAGGTTCTTTTGGGTTACAGCCTCCTTTAAGGATCTAGCCCCCTCTAGAAGATTTAGCATATGCAGCCCTGAAGTGTGTGCTTCCCGCCTTTACTAAGTGAGTTCCTTTTTAAATACAGTTTTTTTAGTAAGAAATGGGCTGGCCTCTTCTCCAAGGTAACAGCAGTAGGATGAGAGGAATGGCCTGTTTGTGCCAGAAGAGGTTCAGGTTAGACATTAGGAAAAAATTCTACTCAGGAAGAGTAGTGAGGCAGTGGCACAGGCTGCCCAAGGAGGTGATGCAGTCACTGTCCTTGGAGGTGTTCAAGAAATGTGGAGATGTGGCACTGAGGAATGTGGGCCTAGTAGGAACGAGCTGATGGTTGGATTGCATGATCTTAGTGGTCTTTTCCAACCTTAATGATTCTGTGATTATAAATACTGGATCCAACACACAAGCTAAAGACTATAGAGTTTAAACCCTCCCTAAAAAACACATCTAAAACAACTTATGCATAAACGTCTTAAGAAATGTACTGCGTTCCTTTTTTTGCTTTTAAAGCTGATTTAAACTCACAGCTGCCTTCATTCAATTCAAAAGTTGCAACGTGTTTTATTGTTTATAATGATCATAAATCTGTAAAGCTGTGTATACAAACACTCTGAAATTACCTTCAATGTGGTTTGCATCAGCTTGGGGGTGTTGGTATATTGTGGGCACAAAAGAAGTTGGTAGAGGAAGACTGTCCACAGGGTGATTTACATCTTCTAAAAGCCATTTTTAACCAATTTAAATGAAGTTCTTGTAGGTAGGCAGTTCCCCAGGGATACACTGGCATTCAGTGATAATCCCTCAATTCTTCCTCTTATTCATTTGTCCTTTCCTTCTAATGGTACTTTTAAGACATGCTTTTTATGCTCAGAAGCATAAAGACCATTTTCAAGGATGTGAGAAGTTTTCACTGCAGTTAGACTTTGTTGGAGGTCTGTGCCCATCACTGAATTCTGTACTTGCATTGACAGAAGCATAAAGAATTCGTTTTCAAAAAATCATTGTTAAGGTGAGTTGTAATAGAATTGCTGGGTTGCTAAAAGAAGTGTTAATAAATTAATAATTGTGGTAGTTCTAATGAAGGACTGCAGATCAAGGTGTGCTCAGGTGTAAATGTCTATAAAGCACACACTATAAAGTGTAACACCAGATGTTACACTCTTGTACCAGGGTTGTTTGGGGGGATTTTGTATCTTTTCTCTTTTGCTATAGTTATCTCACGTGCCAAATACAGTTTCCTGATCCTGGCAGTCCTAGAAATGACACGCTGCAGCCTAGCTATTACCAGTAATAAAGCTGTGGAGGAGCACATGGAAACTTTGTGATACAAATAGGTCTTATGGCACTCTGCTGCCTGTACTACAGCAGCTGGGGATGCCCGAGAAATATTTCATTTTTGGAGGGTAGGGAAGGGTAAACACAAGGCATAAACCGTTTTATTGTATTCTAGCCCAGAGCAAAATTTATGCAAATGTGCTGACCTACTGCTGAGAGCCAGATGTCAGTGCTTTGGGCAAATGTTAAATTTTTTATGGTATGAGCGTTCAGACGTGTCCTCAAGCAAGATGTAGAATACTCTCACTACTTTCATTTGATTGCCATGGCAGCTTGTTACCATCAGGGACTTACACACTGTACAGCTCAGATCTTGTCTAAATGCAGAATGTCAGGCGGCTCTTTCACCTAAACATCACATGGCCAGTATAAAACTGATGTGCTGCACAGAGCGGCAGGCTACAGCAAACTGTCCTGGATCTGGCAGGAGCATTGGCATCCTGTCTCTGACCCCCTCCTTTCTTTGGGCCATTGGATATGTCTTGGAGGTTTGGCAAAAGGCGCTCTGGACATGCTCTCTCCTCCTGCTTTTCCCCCATGCAAGGTGATAGCAGTGGTGCTGTGCGTCGCAGCGGGGCTAGGAATGGAGTTGCTAATCCTGGTGTGCCTGAAATGTGTGACGTGCAGCGTGATGGTGCAGAGCAGCATCCCATGATGCAGGGGAAGCCTGGTACCAGGCAGCAGGTGCTGTGTCTTGCCGTTGCTATGCAGAAAGCAGGCCTTTGTGCCCACCGTGTTCTTCTGTACTGCTACTGTGCAGAGGCAGGAGGGTGCTGCAGGGGCTGTAATTTTAACTGGAGGACACATTCCCAAGAGGAAGTGTTTCTGGTATTAAGCCAAATGTAGCTTTGAGAAGACTGTATAGAAAGTGGCAAAGAATATAGAGAACAGCCTATGTGCAGTGCTCTCTTACCAGGAGTTCTTTAATAGAAAGGGAAGGAAGTGATTTACAATTGGTATGAAGCCATCTTTTTTTTCAGTGAAAAAACTCACTGAAATGTTTCTTTTCTTTTCAAAGGGGACATGCATGCATCTTGTCCCCAGGAATCATGGCACTGTGCCCTTCTGATGGAGCTCTCAGGGAAGCAGGGAGCGAATACAGGCAGTGTGTGACAAGGCAGAGGAGTCAGGCCTCTGTCGCGGGCAGCTGGGTCTTTCTCTGCAGTATAACTTACTTATTCAGCAAAATTTTAACTCCCTTTTGTTTCTGCAATGAATCATGCAGTTATTTGACTTCAGATACTCTGTGCAAATCCAATTTTTAATGCCATTTTGCCTGTCTCCTTTTTCCCTCTTCACAGTCAAAAACCCTAAATGTAACCAATGTTGATACAGCCAATGATGTCATTCTCATGGCCCTGCAGCAGCTGGGAATTTCTGTAAGTACTTGCACTGGTCTTAATGAGTCGCTTTTAATAATCAAATCTTCTCTTCTACCTTTTCGAAGATTTAGGCTATGAACGTAAATTAAAACTTTTATCATTAGCAATTCAGTGTTGTTGGAATGAAGCAATACTTTGTTAATATATAGACCTCCAGAGATCATCAAATGCCTTAAAATCCCATCCCTGTAATGAATCAGTCATGTTTGAAGTTGCTTTTAAATCCATTTTTCTGATGCATAAGAGGAGATATCTTGACACACAAAAAAATGAGTTCGATGCACTCCTTTTGTGTACTTCAGTGTGAGCAGGAAATCTGCTTACCTGCTTGTCTGTCAGTTTCAAAATATGCAGAAAAGCATGATCAGCCGTGTCCCCAGATTACAGGCACAAGCACTGCTCTCAAATGTCCGGATCAGACCCTGTAAATACCCACAGACCTTTGGTGTCATGTGAGGTATGAGAGTAACCAAGTGACTGCACAGAATCTGAATGCACCCAATTGAAGCAATGGTCTGAAGCTACCTAAGATACTTCAAAATAGTGCACTGAGTGCATGCAGCAATTCCCGGTGGATCCTGAATGAACTTCCTTTCCCTGAAACCAGAAAAGGAAGTCCCTCAGATGGTGACAGGAGTCATTGCCGTGCGTAAGAGTTCCAACTCCCTTAGCCTTTTATCCCACCTTTTCATTATGTGTCTGATCAATGCTGATGGTTATGGGAGCTCCTGGATGACAGGTTTTTAATGCCCAAAGTTGGCCGTTTGGGTAACAAGATGTTTTTCAATGTGTTGGTCTTGGTGTCTGTGTTGTTCTAAATGCAAGGAGTCTGACAAGGCTTTCCTTACTGCAGCCCTGTGTAAGATATCAAACATGACCACATGCCATTCTTGTGCTTCGTGAGACCCCTAGCCCAAATTAGAGTAACTCCAGAGTATGCTTTCCCTAGCATTGGTTATCCCTAATTTGCGCAGGCTTTTAGTGTGTCTAGAGGACTACGTTGCTGGTATGGTTGTTCCTGGGCGCAGCATTTTTTGCTGTTACAGCTGCTGTGTCCCACCTACACCAGGTCTGGAGCTGTGGCCCAAGCTCACAGTCCTGCTCTATGTTCAGTGAAGGTAGCTCTAATTCATAGAAGTGAAGAGGATATGATGTGAGCTAAAATCAAGCCCTCTGTCTGCCCCGTCTATGCCAGAAATCAAGACCACACTACATTACAGCTGCAATTCTGTAATGCAGTACATTTCGTTTTTGCCCATTTCATGGATGTCACTTGTACTTCCTCATTTCTTTTACAGAAAAATCAGGAAGATGGTGTTGCCAAAAAAGAATGTTGTGTTTGGGGTGCATGGGAGGAGGAGCTAGCTTTGTTGCAGCTCTGTGTTCTTTTGTATGTAGCAGCATCAGGCCATTCTTCCTCTTTACACTTTTATTTCAAGTGGAAAAAAAATGAAAGCCTTCTGCAAGACGTACTTTCTTGCCCACGGAATCATTTGCTCAGAGTAATATACTGCATCTTTTCACTGCATCTGCATAGCATAAAGCCTTTTTCATTAGTGGCAGATCATCAGATTAGCAATAAAATCAGATGAGCTAAATAAATTAAGCTGCAGTCTATATATCACCCAGCTCCTCCAAAGGACTGATCTGACTGCGAGGGAGCTTTCCCTTATGCACCATCTCGAGGGGCTTTTTGTGTCCAGAGAGAACTACTTGAAAGGAGCTCTGTGACTTTTCAATAGCAATTATAAAAACTACATTTCCCATGTTTGTAGTTCATGTTACTTTGGCTGAGCTCACTCTATTTTCATGCACTGGGGTTTTTCCCTCTGGTTTCTCTGATAAAACAACAACTAGTTCTCACAAAATGACATTGAGCCTTTTTCCCAGATGCTCATGGGGAGCAGAAAGAAGGGCCTTGGGCTCCCCAGCTCCATGGGTACACTTGCTGCTTTTTCTGGGACAACCAGAGTTCCAGTGACAAATGGCCTCATAAAGCCCATAAAGGACAACATTTGCAATCGGGAGATGAGCCCTGCCTGGCTCTTCCCCTTGCCTGCCCCCTCTCCCCAGTAACTAACCCATTCATATATATGTATATATATATATATATATATTTAAAAGGAAAAGTAAATACTTTTCTTGTGCTCCTCAGCTGTATTTATTTGCTGCTGGCAGCTTGCCCTGAGGCACCAGAGATGTCTCCAAAGCCTGTTTATTTTCCTTCTGCCTCCTGCTAGCTGACTTAACAGCAGTGCTAATATGGCCCAGAGAGCTCTGTCAGTCAACAAGCAAACTGCGTGGTCTTTATGGGGTGTATTGGCACTACAGCGGGAGTGTGCAGCAAGCAGGAGAGTCTCAGGAGCTCTGGGGACACTGCGGAAAGGTCCAGACAGTGCCTGACAGTGGGCAAATCTGTTTACAAGGAGGTAGGATTTAATTGTTGAGCTTAATGCTGCTTTGGGGTAGCCAGGTAATTTTTAGACTCTAATTATCCTCACTGAAAAGGCATTTAAGGTGCAATAGTTCACATTTCATACGGTATTTATCCACTTCACTGTTGCCCTTCCTTCTGAAAGTGCTTTGTATTAAATGTCATTCTTTCTGTCTCTGTTGCTTCACTTTCATATCTCAAATAATGTGCTATTCTCCTCCTTCAAGTAAGCTGTAACATTGACTTGTATATTTATGCTGAGGGCAATATTTAGAATGTGCTTTCAAATCAGCAGTTTTACAGGCTTTGCCTAAAGTTGCTCACATTCTCCAATCCTCTGGAAATTGTCTCCTTTGATGTAAACTTATCCTCCCCTCTGTGAATTATGAAGGAGGGGTCCACAGCCTTAAAGCAGCATCCAATGCTCCCAAGCCTTTAAACTCCCAGTAGCTGCACAGCAGGGCTAATGAGGCTGCCTGGGGCTGTGCTGTGTGCCATCAGTCCCTTGGGACCCACCCCTGGCACCAGCTGGGATGGCTGCAGGCAAGGGGGCTGCACTCCCTGTGGCAGAGAATTCAGAAACTTTTATGGTGTCAAATTTGGGCACTGTGGAAGTAAACTGGGTTCCACTGATGCCAGTGGCAAGCTGCTGGTTGTTGTTATATTGTGAGAAATTTGACACAAGCTTTTTCATAAGCTGGCAAACTTATTCTTGATTTTGCTTCCAAAGGGATCTGAAAAAGACTACAAGCTGTGGGTGATTTCAGGAAGAGAAGATGCTCCGTACCCTCTTATTGGTATGTCGATGACATCATTTTATTTTTCAGTGTTCACTCGTTGTCTTTAGTGCTGAAGGAAGCAAGAAATGCAGAGATTACTGATGTGCAGTTCCCTCTTCAGTTTTGTTGTGTTGTTTTTTTCCCCTTTCTTCCTCTTATTTCCCTGTTACCAAGTTTGCCTATTTAGGCAAACAGATGCTGATCCTTAATTTTGAAGAGCAACATGTCTGATTGTGTCACATTCACAGAGACAGAAAAACCTCATTTATTCCTGCTCTGCTTTTGCTATTTTTGGCTGCAGAAGCTTCTGTCTTTCCCAGAGCCAAACTCTCCCCCCAGCCACCTCCTCCCGTGGAGCCACTCCAGCTTTGCTGTATTTCCTCCTACAGTCCCATAGCATTGTTTACTCTACTCTCCTCCTCAGCACAGCTCAGCAGAGTTTTGAGAAATGCTCTGTGCTTCCACAGTTCACCTGATTCCAGTGGGCCTTTGCAAACCTGAGTTTCTGCAGACTTGTATTAGCAATAGGATGAGAGGGAATGGCCTCAGGTTGCACTGGGTTGGTTCAGGTTGGATATTGGGAAAAATTTCTAGTCAGGAAGAGTGGTGAGGCAGTGGCACAGGCTGCCCAAGGAGGTGGTGCAGTCACCATCCTTGGAGGTGTTCAAGAGATGTGGTTAGTGGGCATGGTGGGGATGGGTTGATGGCCAGACTGCATGATCTTAGTGGTCTTTTCCAACCTGAATGATTCTATGATTCTCAACTGGCTGCTCTCCTCTGACTAGGAGCAAACAGTTCTTACTGACTTCCTAAAATGCTTTTCTAAACATTCTGTCAACAGAAACCAACTCAAAGTTGAAAAATGATTTGAGATGGACTGATTTGATTTTGGGCTGTGGTTCTGAGAACAAATCCCTCCCGTTATTAAGAATCTTTAAGAACCTTTCCCCCACAGAAGTCCAGCAGAGCTCACACACAATTAGATCGAGAAAATATTGTGAAATTTCTGTTCTCATCCTGCAAATCTAATCTTAGCATTCCTTCTTAAAGCATCCTTAGCTACAAATGCTTTGCTGTAGTCAGGCAGCATTAATATTTATGAAACGTCTGATCTGCACACCTTATCACAGAATCACAGAATCGTAGGGGTTGAAGGGACCTCCAGAGATCATCGAGTCCAACCCCCCTGCCAAAGCAGGTTTCCTACAGCAGGTCACACAGGTAGGCATCCAGGCAGGTCTTGAACATCTCCAGAGAAGGAGACTCCACCACCTCCCTGGGCAGCCTGTTCCACTGCTCCGTCACCTCACTGTAAAGAAGTTCTTGCGCACACTCGTGTAGAATTTCCTATGCTGCAGCTTGTGTCCATTTCCCCTTGTCCTGTCTCCACTCACCACTGAAAAGAGTCCGGCCTCACCATTCTGCCCCCCACACCTCAGATATTTATAGACCTGGATCAGGTCTCCCCTCAGTCTTCTTTTCTCAAGGCTGAACAGACCCAGTTCACTCAGCCTTTCCTCATAGGAGAGATGCTCCAGGCCCTTCCCCATCTTTGTGACCCTCCGCTGGACTCTTTCCAAGAGATCCCTGTCTTTTTTGTACTGGGGAGCCCAGAACTGGACTCAGTACTCCAGATGAGGCCTCACCAGGGCAGAGTAGAAAGACTATGGACATTGCAAGATGTTTTGTCTTTGAAATGTGAAACTGAACTTTGTCTTTTAGACTATTATGTGTAGCTCAGTCAGATAAAATCACAGTTGTAGTTTTAAATACAGAACCAGAGGATTCAGAAATGAGGAAGACCTTTCTAACTGACACTCTCACTAGAAGTTTGAGGTACAAGCTTTGTAAAAGAAGAATCTGACATCCAACTGACACTGTTCCTGATATTTACATAAAGGTTTATCAGATAAAGCTGACTGTTATCAGAGGTGCACATTTGAAGCAGTTTGCACTTCAGTTTCATCCTATCTACAGTCTCAAATAGGTTTACTTCTACTATCAGCACTCAAATTTAAGTGTAAGATAACTAATTTAATTAACTAATGCATTTCAGATTTAATGCACTTTAGCTGCCATGTGTTTAGATAAGTTCAAAACATGTCTTTCTTGCTGGTATTTTTGAAAGCTCCTCCAGAAATGAGTTGCCTTTGCACAGTTCCAAAAGGTGCTGTTGAATGCAGCTCACCTGCAGCAGCCCTGGGATTTGTGTTTCCTTCCTCTCAGCCTCAGGCAGTAGGTGCACTTGTGTCTCTCCTGGCTTCATTACCATGCACAGGCAGAGAGGATCACTTTCATAGTGAATTGTTTTGTTTTGTTTTGCATGCTCAGGTGACAGATGACTGCTCTCAAAATCTTGTTTCTTGCTAGAACCATATGAAAAACCAGTACCTAAATCTTCAGCATCCCATGTAAAGCAGGAGAAAGAATGAACACTGAATGCACAGTCACTTGTGTTCTCTGGTGGGCTTTTATGTGATGCAGCTGTAATAGGTCCGATGGTACCTTTACATCTGTTTAGTTACACTGAATGCAGTAACTCCACATCTGCCCAGGTATTATTTATGCCAGTGTAAACACGCAGAAAAATGACAGTTCTCAGGTAACTGAGAAATTGTGTGGCCAGCATGCAGAATCTGCTTTTCTTCTGAGGTAGATGGGAGCTCTGAGAGCCTCCAGACAGTCCAGTCCAAATGACAGGAATTTCTTTTTGCACAGGACACGAATATCCCTTTGGGATCAAGATGAGCCACATCCGCGATGCGATGCCCCATGGCTCGAAGCACTGTGCCTGCCCCAGGCAGCTGCAGGGCTCCTTCCTGACAGAGCAGCTGCCCCAGGAGCTGCAGTGCCAGTTTGTGCTGAAGCCAAGTCGCCTGGCCGAGAGCCCGCCGCTGCACGGTACGTGGTCTGCTGCTGCCTCCAGAACGCAGAGCCTGCCTGTGGCCTGGCAGTGCTGGGGGAAGCCAGAGTACTGGGATGGAGGGTGTGCAGTGAGGAGCAGCGGGCAGATGTCAGTGCCAGCTGCACAGGAATTTTGCTGTGTGGTTCTCCCCAGTTTGAGCAAATGCTGTTGCCCGTGTGCTGTTTTTGTAAGTTACAGTTTGACAAGCAGCGTGTCAAGAGGTTGCTCTAAAACCAGCAAAAGAAAGACAAGATCTTCCCCCTGCAGGTTTTTGTAAGCCTAAAGGAGCTTCTCCCTGTACCCCTTTCTGTGCTGTGCAGCAAAGCAAGGAGGTTGTCTGGTACAGAAGCCAAGGCTTCAGTTCTGCACAAAATTCAGCACCTTCTGTCTGAACAAGGTACCAAGGACTGCTCACCTCCCTTACTGGCACCTGTCCCATGGGTCAGCCTGGGCATGAATTTCTGGGGTTGACAGTCAGCTGAACATGAACTAGCAGTGTGCCCAGACGGCCCTAGGTGGCCAAGAAGGCCAATGGCATCCTGGCTTGTATCAGCAATAGTGCAGCCAGCAGGAGCAGGGAGGGGATCACCCCCTCTACACTCAGCTCTGCTGAGGCTGCACTTCAAGAACTGTGTTCAGTTTTGTGCCACTCAGTATAAGAAAGACATTGAGGCCAGAGAAGGGCAGCAGCGCTGTGGAGGATATGGAGCACAAGGCTTATGGAGAGTGGCTGAGGGAATTAGGATTGTTCAGTCTGGAGAAGAGAAGGCTCCAGGCAGACCTTACTGCTCTCTGCAACTGCCTGAAAGGAGGTTGTGGCAACGTGCAGGTCAGCCTCTTCTCCCAGGTAGCATCAATAGGGTGAGAAGTAATGGCCTCAAGTTGCACAAGGTTCAGGTTGGGTATTAGGAAAAATTTCTTCTCAGGTGAGGCAGTGGCACAGGCTGACCAGGGAGGTGGTGCAGTCACTGTCCCTGGAGGTGTTCAAGAAGTGTGGAGATGTGGCACTGAAGGTCACTGTTAGTGGGCATGGTGTGGATGGTTGCACTGTAAGATCTCAGTGCTCCTTCATGATTCTGTGATTCTGTGGCACTGTACCTAGATGAAGTGAGGGAATACAGCTTCTTTATTTCACTATTCCCTGAGTAAGATGAAGACAGTAATATTTTCTCCTGCCTTTGGCCTTGGTCCTGCAAAAATACGAGCACCTGCTCTCTGTTTTGCACTCTGTTGTCAACGATACAGTGACTGCTCACTGCTCACGGGTAGAACATATGGGCAGATCTTTACAGGCTGGGGTGTTAGGCTATAAACACCATGTGACGAGGATGCATCCCACAGTGTGTTTTTATTGTGCTTCACACGCTATCACGCTAAGCTTAGTTGGGAATTCTGCCCTTCCTCCCCGTTAATGACTCTGTATCAATAAAAATAATATATGTGCACTCTGTTATACTCTGCAACCCCCAACAGTCAAGATCTCCTAAAAAGTACGAGCAGAATCCATTTGTAATGTTTTGAGAAATTAAATGTAGCAAGGCAATATTAGTACCTGTTACAAATTATTCCGGAAATTGATTGCATTTTTATATAAATTAATTTCCTTTCCACACTCCTTCACCCCCCTCCCCAAGTAATTTGTATCATATATTACTTCACAGCATATTTCAAGAATGAGGCAATCTAACAGAGGGGTGTAATTAGGTTTACAGGCCCCGCTTGGCAGCTGACATTGACTGGCAAGAGAAAATAGGAATGCAAATCAGCACAGATGTGATGTCGGCAGCACAGTGTGAGCTGTGGGAGGGGGCCAGGCTGGCACTGGGCAGCCTGTGAAACTGAAGCTGGGCCAGAGCCACACGGCTGGAGGAAAAGCTGTGTGTCCTTGTGCCTTACCTGTTTCCATCCTTGTCTGATAGAACCTATTAGAGTTCCATAGGCCTCACTGTTGCAAACCAGATCACCTTGCTGTTCATTGTGCTCTTCCCACTTCTTTCTCACCTGTTTTTGTTTTGGAAAAGGATGAAAGGTGTCTGTGTGCTAACCAAGGCTATGATCTGTTTTGGGGCTTGTCTTCAGGTCAGCAAGCCAAGCAGTGTGGGACTACTGTGCACAGCACCACGTATGGGGCAAATTACAGGGAGGAGGGTTTGTATATTTGATGCACTTCTGCTGTGTAACTCTCCTTCCATGCTCCAGAGAAACTCTCCCCAGGCAGGAGAGGACTTTCCTGCTCCTCAGCAAGTGGTTGTTCTTCTGGTGGTGGTGCTACCTGAGCACTAACAGTGTTCTGTTTTTTTTTTTTCCTGAAAACATGATAAAACCGGAAACTTGGAATCCAAGTTTGAGCAGCATCTTCAGCCACTCTCCCTGTAACCACAGCACACACATAGCATGTACCCTTGGCAAGTTCAGAATCATATGATTTCTAATCAAATATTACCCTGGCCAGGGTTCCACATTTGTGAGGCAAGCAACTCTGTGCCACCAAGCCTCCTCATACCATCCTGATGCCATCTCCTGCTGTGGCACTGGTGTTGCTGGACAAGACTCACCAAAGGGAAGCTTCTGCTACGAGGACAGGTAGAGAGAGCTGGGGCTGTTTAGCCTGGAGAAGAAGGGCTCTGGGGAGACGTGAAAGCAGACTTTTGGTATCTAAAGGAGGATGTAAGATACAAAGACACTTTAGTAAGGTGTGTTGTGATAAGACAAAGGGAAATTATTTCAAACTAAAAGAGGGGAGATTTAGATTGGATATAAGGAAGAAGCTTTTCACAGTAAGGATAGTGAGACATTGGCACAGTTTGCCCAGAGAGGTGGTGGATGCCCTATCTATGGTGAGTTCAGGTCAGGCTGGATGGGGCTCTGGGAAACCTGATGGAGATGTAGGTGTTCCTGTTAAATGCAGGTGGCCTTTAAAGGGTTCTTTTCAACTCACACAATTCTACGATTCTATGAAACTGCTTGGCTGAACCACACAACGCCGAATGGGTGGTGACAGGAGGACACAACTGACAAGTGGCTGTCCTGTGAGATAAGAAGCCATGTGGACACCAACTGTGCTGCTGTAGTTATGTCAGCAGTGCTGGCAGGATACTTGAAAAACCTACAGGAGAATTTACTGTGTGGGAACACCATGATGTTTCCGTCCTGCAGCTTTTCAACACGTAACAGGACCAGCACCTAGCTGCTGAACATGGCCATTAAGTCATGCTCACGAGCACGCGTCTACAAAATATCATAAATGCTAATTTGCCTAAAGTATGACTTGAAAGAACTGACTGCTGTCGGTGACTCGTCTGTCATCCAAATTGTTATTTAATCGTCTGGTAAAAGAGAGAGCAAATTTCCAGTGAGTTATTCTCAGTACAGAAAGGAGGTCTTTGAAAGCTGTTCGAAAGGATTTGGTCAGGAAGGACACTGTGTTTCTAGGCTAATCTGAGGTTTTCTTTGGAAGTTCCTGATTAGTCTGTGAGAAGAGGAAATGAGCACTAGTGCGGCTGAGATGCTGCCAATGAAGAGACTGAATTCCCTGTATGTAAGATATGAGCCCAGCTGATCCCTAGGCAGATGGCTGCTGTTGTGAGCTCCGAGCAAGGTCTGCAGCCAACGTGGTGTTGCTTTTATTCTGATTCTGGGCTAGAATAACCCACCATAGCAGGCCCTGGGGTGCACTCTGGTGTCTCCATATGGGAGCTGTGTCTTCCACAGAGTAATAACTTGCATCTGTCTTGGCTGGGAGCAAGCTGTACACCAAATGTAGCTCTAACACACAGGTTCAAGAAGAGAAAGTCTACATCTTCCTCTTCCCGTTTGCTCTTTACACCGACACTTCTCCCCTTTTGAAATAGGAATGGGAAACAAATGAGTTCTGTTGCTCATTGTGTTGATTTTGTAAGTGAGGTGGCATTTTGCTGCGTGGCATTGCTTGTTGGTTTCTGTCCTGCTGTGCTGAAGAACACCAATTAAGCTTTGCCTCCTGTTCCAGGAGAGCTGCATTTAATCACAGTTACTCATTGCTCACATCACCCATTTGGGCCGTGGCTTTCAAGAGTTGAGAGGCTGAGAAAAGTTCCTTATTTTAAGACTCTTTTTCTGTCATTTCTGCTACTTCTTTTTTCCTCCAAAATAGAATCTCTCCTTCATTTTTACTTGCTAAGATATATAAAGCTATCAGAAAAAAAACCCACCAAACTGTATTTGTGATTGTGTGTCCAGAGCTCCAAGTGGACCAAGCCATAGTCATGTGCAAATATCCTGCTCATCTTAAAGAAAAATTATTGTTTTGAGAGTTGTGCTTACGTTCTCCCAAAACACGATGTGTCAAGTAAAGCTATAGACACTGCCAAGCTTATATTTCATGGAGCTTTGGGCTTAAAATGTATATCCTCATTATTTTTTTATGAAAGGAATTTTTCATCAGGCTTTAGCATGTGTATGTTCACATTTTGAGTTAAACTGTAACTTTTCATCCTGTAAATCTCTAATGAAAAGCCTTCCGCCCATTCCCTAAGGGAGCATGATCTTCCAGATCGGAATGATGTATAGCAAAAATCACCGTTTGGGCTAAGAAACACACATAGTAAAGTATAGGAGAGACAAATCTGATATTATGGTATTATGTTGCAGTCTGTACCTCTGCAAGCATTAATTCTACCCTCTGCCCTCCACAACAGCAGAAGCTCATCACAGTGCTGGGAGAAGTAGGGTACCTCCAGATGGTCAGCCAGGGCAGTCCAGTGGTGTTCATGTATGCACTTTTCCCAAAGAAGGTCTGTGGTTTCACACCTGCGAATGGGAGATGAGGACCTGAGCACAGGCCAACCACATGCAAAGTCCTCGGGCGGAGGTGCTGGGGCAGTGGTCAGGCCATGCAGTGGCTCTTGGTGATCCTCCGGAGAGCGTGGTTGGGCTGCAGTCACACACACAGGTATGCACATGGTGGATTAGGCCGAGCCGGATGCCAGGATGTTGGTTGAGTTCATGACATTTTTTCCTTTGATACCATAGCAACCACTGCAAAACAAATACTGGAATTAGAATTGAAATGCATTTCTTCTAATAAACACCTCTCTCTTTTCCCAGACTTAAGCCAGAAGTCATTTAAAAGGAAAAGATCCATCATAAATTGGGCTTTCTGGCGTGGTCCAGGCACCCACTTGGATAATGCGCCCCTCTCCTCGACATCGGCTGCCCCTGGGAAGCTCTTTGGCCTGCTGCTAACAGCCATCTGCGAGGACGACAACCTGCCCAAGCCTCTCCTGGTGAGTCCAGGCACAGGGCTGGCTCTTACAGCAGTGGAATTTCTTTGTGCAGCCAATGAGAACACGGGGATGCTGTGGAAATGGGACGCTGCAATTACTCAAGCAGAGAAAACAGCAGGAAACCTCATTTATGGTTCCCAACAAAAACTTTGGTTTTTAACATATGCTGTGGTGAGGCCTGGTTAATGCCAGACAGCTTGAGAAGCATGTGACTGCTCTGGGCTGTTGCTTCTCTGTAGCCCATGTTGTAAGGCTGGTTCCCAAGTCCTCACTTATGCAGTGCAAATAAACACCGTATTCATGCATACTTTTCAAATTACTCCTAAGGTTTCTGTAGAATCCCCAGCCCCTAGCAGGTGATATCTGCTGTCCAGCATAGGCAGCCCATACTTGCACAGAAATGCTACCTGCCCTCAAACCATTTTAGAGCCTTTCTTGGAGACACCCTAGGGCAGACAAGCACTCTGAGTCCTCATTTTTTCTCAGGAGGAGTGGTGAGGCAGTGGCACAGGCTGCCTGGGGAGATGGTGCAGTCTGGAGGGGTTCAAGAGATGTGGAGATGTGGCACTGAGGGACGTGGTTAGTGGTATGGCAGTGATGGGCTGATGTTTGGATTGAATGATATTAGTCTTTTACAACCCTAATGATTCTATGGTTCTACGATTTTGGATCAAGAAGGTGTCCTTAGAACTGCCCTGTTGTTGGTACAGCAATTGAAATGTTTGCCAAAGGGAGGGAGCAGTTCCCACCATGAACGGTGCAGGATTGGGCCCTTTGTTTCAGCAGACTGACTGCCAGCTGGAACAAAGTGAAATCAATGGGGTTACATCAGTTTACAGTAACAGATGTGTTTGTCTCCAAAGCTTGTGCTTGATGTGCTGCTTTATCATTTCCTGAGCAGTGAATCACACCAGGACTTCTCAGGTCTTTTGAGAGCGTGGGTTTGGTATTTTCTTTTGAGGGGGCAGTGTAAATTTTTATCATAGTTTAAATAAGCCCTTTAGAGATGAACCCTGTGAGGACCTGGTCTCTCTCTTTCTCTCCCTTTGACAGGGGAGCCAAAGCTGCATTTTGGAAATTTCTGCAAAACATAACAATTAAGAATATTTCATCTGAAGAAAGTGCAGAGTTACTTAGTGTAGAATCAGAGCTTGGTAGACTTTGTGGTTTGAATCTTAGAACGCTGTGTTTATGCCACAAAATATAACTGGCTTTTGATTTCATGCAGCATCTCTGGAGAATGGAAAATTGCATCTGAGATACTGTGTGGGATTTATCTGCAAGAAAAGGAAGATATTAGGAATGAATGCTGCAGGCGTGTTTGATATCTTTGCTGCAAAGCTCCAAACTTGCTTTCACAGCTGAATGGCTCTCTGTTAGCTATTGCCTCACTGAATTATCTTACACCATTAGCTCCCTTTGTGTAATCTGTTGGATTTACTACATTTTTTCCAACTTTGATCTTGTGGCTGTTTTATTCCAAAAATAATTTAAAGGTGTTTATGCAGTGAGACTGGTGTTTTGTCAGCAGAGCTGTAAATCCCTGTAAAATAAATGTAAATGGTGACATGAGTCCTGCTGCCTGGAGAGGTGCTCCTGTTGCACACACATCACTTTCCACTTCTACAGGAGTGAGAAAGAAACATTAAGAAAGTAAAGATTAAAAGATTACAAATACAGCTTCCATTAGTGATATCTGTATTAATGTGTGCCAGGGCCAGACTCTGAAAGAAGCCAGAAGCCTCTGCTTAGTCATTACTGCTAGAGTGACTTGGTTTTGTGATGTCAGGCTCTCTCCTCGTGTACCTTTTCTCCTCATTCCTTTTGATAACCCAGTCCTCAGACCAGCATGTGTTTTCACATAGAGAGACTGCACGTGTTTTCTCTCAGAAGAGATAAACGTGACAACTCCCACATTGCTTAGAATTGTAGAACCACAGAATCATTAAGGTTGGAAAAGACCACTGAAATCATCCGGTCTGACTGTCAACCCATCCCCACCATGCCCACTAAGCACATCACTCAGTGCCACATCCACACGTTTCTGGAACTCCTCCAGGGACGGTGCCTTCACCACCTCCCTGGGCAGCCTGTGCCACTGCCTCACCACTCTTCCTGAGAAGAACTTTTTCCTAACATCCCAACTGCAAGTCCTCCTGTGCAACTTGAAGCCATTACCTCTCTTTCTCAGAGCAAATCTTTGGAGAGGTGATCATGGGCACATCAGAGAGACAGCCCAAAGGAGTCAGCAGCAGAGTCCAGCCTTGCAGCTGGTCTAACCAGCAGTCCTGAGCTGCTTGCAGAGTGCTGTTGTGCTCCCAAGTCCAAGAAGGGGCAAAATCCAGCTCTGATCTGGTGGAGACTTGCGAGTACATATAAACAATCACTTTCCAAGCAGATGAAATCTCCTTTTCTACAGACATCAGGGTGTCAGTTGGAACAGAAATCTTCATCTCTGATCAGTGATGAGATTGAAAGTGCTGGTGAGCAGGAAGGGTTTTTTATCTTCCTGCAGAGAATAAAATGCAGAGCTCTGCATTAGGTAGACAGTAGCCTTCTCCCATGCCATGGTGTTTAATGTTTATCTGTGTCAATGACTTGGCTAAAAGTTGCCCAGGTGCTGGAGGAGATTGTGCACGAGGTCAGTGCTCAGCAGTGGCTGCACTGTGCTTCTGAAGGGATGTTTACCAAAATCAGCACCCCCGGCCATAGCTTTGCTGTGCAAATTGTCTGGAGGTGAGCCCTGACCTGTGTGTAAGCTTTCTGAGGACTCACAGGTTTTTGCCTGTGACCAAAGCGGTAAAACCACATTTCAGTGGTAAAACATATTTCTGAGAAACCCTCTCTGCCTTTTAATTTTGTTTAGGACATGCTTTCTCTCTTGTACCAAGAAGGCCCTTCCACTGAGGGTATTTTCAGACGCTCTGGGAGTGCAAAAACCTGCAAAGAGCTCAAGGAGAAGCTTGATTCAGGCGCTGAAGTGGACCTAGCGTGCGAATCCATATTTGTGACAGCATCTTTGTTTAAGGTACGTGAAGAATGTTCCTTTCTCCCTTATCAGTTGAGAGCAGCGCAGATCTTAGGCACAAACAAGTGGGGTTTTTCGCCATGGGTGGAGAGGCCTTGGTAGGCTGAATTAAGAAGAGTGGACTGATATATTCACATAATTCTCTTAGCCTTACCTGAAAGTCAGTTAAATGCCAAAAAGGCAGATTTGCAGTCTTGTTTCTTTACTCAGACCATTGCTAGTGTATAGTGTTGCCCAAAAAATCTCAGTTCATTTTGTCATGGATTATCTCCTAAAAACTTCTATGTTAAAAGCAATGTTGTTTGTGCAAAAAGCATCACAAGCCTTCAGTAAAATATCAGCTACAAGGAGCATATCTGTCTTCACATTTTATTATAGTATGTCCATTTGTGAGTGGTTTTTAGCTTAAAAGAAATAACAGTCTTTATTCTTAAGCAAACACTGCTTTGGACAAAAAAAAAAAAAAAAAAAAAGGCATAACAGAAGTATAACAAAACAAGCATTTCTCTTACTGTCACATGAGAGGTTTTCATGGCTAAGATACCATTGCATTGCTGCTGGTGGTTTAGGATGGGCATTTTAAAGAGGCTGGGGGACAGCATCACATTAAGAGCGAATGTGTTATTTGTGCAAACCATAGCTTCATTTGGGATGGGATTTGGGAAGCTGGGATTTGGGATTTAGGAAGCAGGAATTTGGGTTTCTTCCCAAGCTGCAGCAGTTTATCTGCCACTATTTGAGGAGACAGGAGCTGGAAGACTAACCCTGACCAGGGTAAATACTCCTTTACCACAGAGGACTGAGCCCAGAGGAAGGTAGGCAGGGAGTGCTTACGGTCTGGTGGTGTTGAAAGAAGTTGTCAGCTGAGGGGAACAAACAGGGGCTATGGATGAATTCAAGTGATAAGTAAATGCAGATATACAATATCAAAATAACTGGACCCACTGCAGGGTTTTTTTCAGTTCATCAACAGCACATGAAGCATCCAGATACCTCTGTTGATAAGAAAGAGTGAGGACAGGTCAGGAAAAAAATCCATTTTAGCATAATCCAAAGTGCTTCTTTATCTGAGGTGGTTTTCTGCTGGTTTTGGTTGCTGTGTGGATCAAGATGCTTGTCAGTCAGTGCTATCCCACTGAATCATCCTCTTGTATCTGCATTGCTTCTTCCTATTTCCTCCCCCCCTCTGGAACAGCTGTTCACATTTTATTCTTCTTTTCTCTGGATAAGGATTTCCTTCGCAACATCCCAGGCAGCATTTTGACATCCCAGCTTTGTGATAAGTGGGTCTCTGTGATGGATCATGGAAATAACGAAGAGAAGATAAAAAGCATCCAAAGGTAGAGTTACTTATATTCTGTATTCTCCTCCTGTTAAATGATATCCCGGAATGCAGAATCCCAAACATTCCACTCAAAACCTGCAATTAAAAAATCCACAAATCTAAATAAATGCTAAAATACAGAGCATTTAAACTTACATATGTATTTAAGGAAGAGCCTATATGGGGCAAATTTCTGACTCTCTTTTGTCATACATTTCTGCCTTTTGTGGATACTGACAAATAATTGAAACATGCCTTCATGGGAAACATTTATAATATTTATAAACTTGCTGTCCAAGACCTGGATTTCTGCCTCATACCAAAGCCAGAGTTATCCACAGGGAAAATGGAGGGGGAAGAGGAGCAAAAATCAGTTCCTCATATTTTCCCCCACGTTCAACTCTAATGTTAGTGACTGTTTTGAAGATGGAATTGTAAATGAAACACTGGAGCTCAGTGACAAGGGAAGCCTCCACACTGCAGATGATACCAAGCAGAAAGGGGGCAAAGTTTATGTTATGGGGAACAGAGCTTTGTACACCAGTGAACCTGGTGCATATTCACATACATACATACCTATGGCAACTGGATGGCGGGTAGTGACAACTGAACTGTGAAGTGAACAGTGAACTGTCAAGCAACTAAGGTGAAATACAGAGTTATCTTCAAGGTTTTTACTTTTTCTAGTCAGTAATTTGAAGAATAACATTTGTACATGCTTTCAGGTTAATAGAGCAACTCCCTAGAGCCAATGTTGTTCTCCTACGTTACATCTTTGGAGTGCTACATGGTATAGAAATGCGATCTGAAGAGAACCAGATGAATGCATTTAATCTTGCCATCTGCATTGCGCCCAGCCTGCTCTGGCCTCCTGCTTCCTCAACTCCTGATATAGAAAGTGAATTCACAAGAAAGGTAGGAGACACCACAACGTAGCAAACACAGATAACCATATTCCTGTACAAACAGTCCATTGGTTACAAAGGTGAGAATAGGTGGTACCTCTTCAGATCGGTTCTCATCCTCTTATCAGCACCCCAGAAACATTCATAAATCCATTATTATTATCTGCCTGAGAAAAGGGGAGAGACATCATAAAGAAATACACAGTGCATTAGCAGAGGACTTCTGTCATCAAAAAGATCCCCAGTTGTCCTTAAACAGAGTAAAAATGAAAAAGATATATGCAGGAAGACTACCAGTATGTGGACCCCAGTCAAGGGTCAAAGGAATGTAGATGGGAGAGAGGACTGCAGAAGGTGTCAGGCAAGGAGATAATGGGATGAATGCCATCTACCAGCTACTCTTATGCTGAAGAAGGTGGAATTTGGTGTGATGTGGGAAACACTTGGTAAAAACAACTCTAGCAATAAGATATAACAGACAAGGCAGGGTCATGTTCAGGAGATGTCACTTTGCTCTCCCTGTCTCTCCCTCATCACCTTGGAGGCCCTGGCTCAGCACATCTGAGAGAGCTCAGGGATGGCTCATGGCAAGAACTCAGGGCTGGGCTGCCAAGGGATGGTCTGTCAAGGTCTTCTGAGGTGAGCCTCTCCATTTAGACTATTTTAAACACTTCATGGATGAGTAGCTTGCTTGTGTTCCTCCTCTGTAAGATGAATTTGCCCTGAATGTAATAATGCAGGATGTGACAGGACATCTCTCCTCTGTTGCTTTGTTGCAGATTTCCAGTCTGGTGCAGTTCCTCACTGAGAATTGCTGCAAGATTTTTGGAGAGGAGATTAACTCTCTCTTTGGAGAAATCCTGATGACATGCAAGAGAGAAAGTGGCTCAGGTAATGAAGTTTTGATCCTGTTAGCCAACCAGACAAAGATCAATCATAGTCCATGGAAGAAGGCTGTTCCGTCTTCACGTGGTGTTCCTATATACTGCTGTTGTCTTTTCCTTTCCCAAAGTATTGGTGATAGTGATCCAACTTACCACAGAACTAAACCACACCACAAACAGCTTTCCCTAAGAATTCCTTGCTCCTATTCCATTCATTTGAGCCACTGTGTTGAAAAAAGGGGAAGGAGAATTGAGGGGGAGGTGGGGGGAGAAGGAAAGAAAGAAGGAGGCAGGGAGACAGTGAAAAGATTTCATCTCAGATATTGAATTTGCATCCTTCACAGTGTCTTCTCAGTACATCAGAAAGTCAGTACATCAGTACATCAACAAGTTATCATACAGTTCTCACTCCATTATATTAGGGCTGAAAGCATTGTTTATTATCAAAAAAGAGAGCTCTCCAGATGTTTAATGGAACAGACATATTTTACTTCTAGCACAGAAAAGTCATAGAAGCGGGGACTGAAAATGTCCAGCAGGGTAATTGGCTGATATGCAGCATGTTCCAGAATATCATTCTTTTTCTCACTTTACCTCTCAGATCATTGAGGCTCAGGTCTCTCCTTAAATGATTTGCAAAGCTGCATTTCTGCAAAATAGATTTTGGTACAACAGGCCTACACTGAAAGTGGTAATGGCACTTGTCCTGGCATGCCAGTCTGATTCTGTTGATATCCAAAAATCCTCATGCACGACCTCCAGTGGAATTTGATGAAATTTGACCTGTCCTCCTACCCAAAAAAAGAACCATGAACTTGGGTCATCAATATGCCCTTTTTGCTAAGAAGACTGATGATGATCTTGGCTTCATTAGGCAAAGTATCACCAACAGGCAAAGGGAGGTGATCTTTCCCCTCTAATCAGCACCATTGAGACCACATCTGGAGTGCTGGGTCCATTTCCAGCCCTTCCAGTACCTGAGAATCATGGGCTCAGTGCAACAGAAGGACAACAAGATGATGCAGGGTCTGGAGGATCTCTCCTGTAAGGAGAGGCTGAGAGAGCTGGGACTGCTCAGCCTGGAGAAGGGGAGGCCCAGGGGGATCCCATCAGTGTCCAAAGAAAACTGAAGGGAGGGTGCAAAGAGGACTGAGCCAGGCTCTGTTCAGTACCAAGACAAAGAGGCAGTGGACACAAACTGAAGCACAGGGGGTTCTCTTTGAGCACCAGCTGATGGAGTGATGGAGCACTGGCACAGGCTGCCCAAGGGCTGTGGGGTCTCCTCCTTGGAGATCTTCCAAAGCTGCCTGGACATGGCCCTGGGCTCCCTGCTCTGGGTGTCCCTGCTGGACAAGGGCAGCCGGTGGACCCAGAACTCCCTACCGGCCTCAGCCATCCTGTGATGCTGTGCTGTGAGTTGTCAGATCCATGGTAGGTTAATGTGTCTGAGGAGGTTTTCCAGCAGGCACTGGGGCATAGTAACTACCCATACCTGAACTCAGTCTGCTGCAAATGTGAGATAAGTCAGCTTAGCATAGCCTAGAGCAAAAGAGATTAATGTAATTCCAATTATCATGTCTACAGAACAGGGTACGTGTGTGCAGGGCTTAGTTGAATGAAGTATGTCCTGTTTTCTTCAGTTGTATAGAAGAGAGAATGTAAGGTTAAATGATGTTTTCACTGTTCGGTAACAAAAAGAAACATTCAATATTTTTCTGATTTAATATTCTACATATGAAGTATTGTTCAGAGCTGGATTTTTTTACTAGTGAAGTCTTCACATAAAAACAAAACAAAACAAAAACAAAAAACAACACCAAAACACAAAGAAATCGTATTTGTCCCATTACTCTGTGTTTCTTAGCTGACCTGCAACTTACCTCGAATTTCAAGGTTTTTTAGACAGTATTTTTTTCTGAAATTACTGATATTTCTGTTTTAAGAGACTTTAATAAATGGCAAATGTTCCTAAAATTAAGGGATACTTGCAAAAATAAATGCAGCTGCACGTAAGCAGGGTGGTTCAGTCGCTGACATGCTACCACCTGGTTTGTCCTTGCAGATGTGGCCTCCCTCCATCTGAACGACTCTTCCTATGACAGCCTGGAAAACGAGGCGAACGATGAAGCCGACTCCTCTTCCAGTGACTGGATCAAGAACCGAGATCAGGATAACAGGAGCAGGGAGTCCGTCTTCACCCTGAGTGACGGTGATTCAGAGCAGACTGAGGTGGATGAAATCCAAAATAAAACCAAATCGAAACAGTTGACAATTTCTGTTGATGTTCACCATAAGTTTTCATCGCAAGAAAATTCAGAGAAGGAGCCTCTCTGCTCTCTCTCCAGCGCGTTGGGCTTCACTTCCGCAACTACCTCAGGTGTCCTCAAAACCTTAAGGAGACACAGGCGCTCCTCAGAGCCTGCCATCGGTCTCCTCGCCCCTACTTTTGCCCACACTGGAGATGGTCACAAGAAGGCAGCGCGCAAAGCCAGCTGTGACGTTGTCCTCTCTTACGAAGATGAAGACTATCTCCATCAGCTTCGGTCATTGCAAGTGGAAGGACAAAAACTTATCAATCAGAGCTTGATCATAGGGATTAACGTTGGTAAAAGTGACAACACAAACCAAAATGTTGAAAAGAAGGACTTGTCCCATTGCCTTCTGCCTCCAACACCAGAAGGATTAAATATTTGCTCAGGATTTAGCTCTTCTAGCCTCTCTTCTCCAGGGACATCTCCGTCTCTGTCATCAATGAGCTCCCTGGACAGTGCTTTCTCTCAATTTTCAGATCAATCTGTGTTTACCCCAACTGAAACCTCCTCCCCTTTTGATATCAGCACTTTTCAGCCAGTAAAGAAACATGAAGAGACTGCTGCTGAGCCTCCTGATGACTATTTGGTTGCACCCAGTATGGTGCCCCCATCTCCACAGCCTACAGAGGCGCTGGCTGAGGGGAGCTTGCTGGAGCCCAACAGTAGGCTGGCACCTCTGAAACTTACTGAAGGAATCGACAGCTATCTGGTTAAGCCTGACATTCAGCCATTGCCTCTGAAAGTCGCAGGAAGAGACAGACTTCATGATCTGAGATCAAAGAGGAGGTCTAGGAAAGGATTGCAGCAATCCAAAGTTTGAAGAGACTGACCAAAGCTTTTTTTTTTTGCAGAGAAATCTTAACACTTAAAATAAACACCATAAAGAAAATGCCTTCGGTGTTAATGTGTGTTCATTTTAAGTTCAATATCCAGGCTGCTCAGATTCAATTGAGCAGTCCCTGAACTCACAGGTTTTCTTTTTCCAGGAAAACATTAACTACGTAAAGCTCCTACGTTAAGTTCCTACGTTAAGTTCCTACGTAAAGCTTTGCGAAAGAATGTTGTAAGAATAATCCCAATTGCTGAAAGCAAGCAAACAGAAACTCCTGAAAATCAGACAAGGTCCCAAGCTCTAAGTAAGAAAGCACCCTGCTCTCAGAGCCCCATGGGCAGCAGGGCGCCTGCTGGGACTCCTCGTGACCACTCGTGTGTTGAGCCTTGCCCATGTGAGTCTCAGTCGTGTGTGCTTTGACGTAGCGTGCAAAGTCAGTGTAGATCCCCTAACTGTGGTATTATACTACTGTTCTGAAACAGATAGGTATGACTTTCGTATGTCAAGGAATAAGTGTACTGTTTTCTGTGTGTTTCTGGGGTACGTTCGATAGGTGCAGTTATTTCTTTCATGCTGCAAGGGAAAGAGAAGAAATAAGCTCAGAAATATGTAAAGGTAAATGCTGAAGCTTGTAACTAACACCTCCCAACTCCGTGTGTTCAGTCATTTATTGTGCTTCGTTGGCTGTTCTGTTCATGTTTAAGTTGTGAATTGTTTCTTAACATCGCTGTAAATGGCATTATGTATTATTGCAAGCAGAACACATGTAATTTTATTATGCAGCACCTAAAACATCGTATAATATATTAAAAGTACTGCATTATCTAAATGCTTCGAGTTTGTATAATATATCCTGATAAATTTTGCTATTATATATGTTCTGAAAAAATGTGTATTTTTGTACTTGCAAAAACTGCTGCTAATTTTATGAGTTCTGTTTTGTTGTTACAGCACTGGTACTGATGTGTATGCATTCAATGCTATATATTAAATATTATTTGTTATGTCGTCCATTCAGTTTACATTCTTTGCAATGTTTTTAGGTGGTTATTTCTAGTTCTGCAAGCTATCGCCAAAGCGAAAGTCCCAGTGATGCTGCTGTTGATGTTGCCCAGGAAAGGACAGCAACATTTTTCCTCCTCTTTGGGTGGCATCAATCAAAGTGCATGCTGTCATGCTGTTAACTTTTGTCAGTTTTCATACGATTCAAACAAGAATTCCTACCCTTTCCTTCTTCTTCTGGAAAAAAAAAAGTGTTTTCTGCTAATGGGACACTCCTGCCAAGGTGCAGAGATACCTTCAGGTGATAGATATTAGGGCAGAGAGAAAGGAAGGAGAGGAGCAGTTATCTCCTATTTAACATCAGCAGGATTACGGAGGCAGGAAGGAGTGACAAGGTTAAAGAAAACGCATCTGGCCATGTGTGCATGCATGCAGCGCTTCTGAAATTGCGTACGTTCGTTCATTAGCTTTCCGTTCTCAAAAGCCCTCACCCATCCAGTTCATACTGGCCAATCCTGGAGTTTCAGATCTTATTCTGTTCAACTATGCTCTGGTGAAGCTACTTGTGCTCCCCAATTGCTCAGCACTCCTGAAAAAATGCAAACACTGCCCAGCGCTATAAGCCGTTTCCAGCTGTTATCAGTTAGGAAGATTGCTAGCTCTGTGTCAGGCAGAGTGGATGATGTCCAGTGGATTTGGGGTGGGTGTTAACAAAGTTAGATATAACCTTACCTAAAGATACAGAATCGAAGACTTGCTGGTTGGGTCTGTAATCCTGCACGTGGTTCTATCAGTGAACAGAGAGGTGTTTGTAGACAACCTCGTAATGCAATAAAATACCGTGCACTTGCTGCTATACCAGCATGTTTACGAGCTCAAATACTTCACTACAAATTCTCTTTTTCACATTTTTCATATTTAGCTATTCTAATAAAAATGCAGGATCTGGTCTGTAATAGTCACCTTCCAAAGGTAAAAACCCTTTGTGTGTATTTTGAGACCTGTCCTCTAACAGCTCTGCATGTGCACCTCCTTCAAAACAAAACAACAAAAAAAAGATGCTATTTTGAAATAAAACAGCTACTCTGCGTTTCTTTTCAAAATAGCAGAAAGCACACAGCCACACTGCCAAGATTACATCAAGGAGCAAATGCTGATTCATTGCAAGAATAATAAAGCTTTAGAAAAATCTCTAGTCTCTACAATATAAATGTTCTGTCCTAGAAATGGTATCTTCCAACAAGACATTTATCTCTGCTAGGCTGAAGTTAAAGTATATCCAAGAGTGCTTCAATGTGAAACAAATTATGTGTCTGCTTTTGAGCTGTAGCTAATGTTAGAGTGCTTTCAAATTTAAACATATGGTGAACAAGCTGGATGTAGACCCAGCACAATTTAATACACGCTTCTGTCTTGAAAGACATACACCCTGCTGCTGCACAGGGCTCATTCTGTGACAATCACTAAAATGAGCACTAATGGAGAAAATCACTGTCTGTGCTGCTCACTAAAGAAAATAAATGCTATTAAGTTCTAAAATAAATTGTACTGAGCCTTTTCACAGTGTTGGATGTGACCTTGAGGACTTCAGTATGTGATGACTCCAGGTGTGCTGCTGTTGGGGAGCCAACATCCATGTACCAGGGGCCTCTGTTGCTTTCCCCTGAGCATCCCAGGGCGCTGAGACAGGAAATAATATTTTAATAATCTGGGAAATACTAAAAGGGAAGTGACCTTCAGAGTGAAGCTGTCCTTTAGCCATGCTTCTGACCACCAGGCTTCTGCTAACACCTGTTGCTCCAACTTTTTCCTTGTTCTGGAAATGTACTTTTGCCCCGTACTTTTTGGATTTGATGGCCTACATTTTATTTCCAGCTTTGCTCCCAGTGTGCTCTGTGACATTTGGCACTTACCTGCCTCCTCTGTTCCCTGTTTCCATTTGTCTTACAATCACAGAACCATAATAAAATCTAGGTTGGAAAAGGTCTTCCAGATCACCAAGTCCAACCATCAGCCTGACCTACTCAGTCCCATCACTAAGCTGTGTCCCTTAGTGCCACAACCACTTCTCATAAATGCCTCCATGAATGGTGACTGCTCTGCACAGCCTATTCCAATGCTTTAGCTCTCCAAAAATGCTTTTACTCTCTCCAAGAAGAAAGTCTTTCTAGTGCTCAATCCAAACCTCCCATCACAGAATCACAGAATCACAGAATCACAGAATCACAGAATCACCTGGGTTGGAAGGGACCTCAAGGATCATGTAGTTCCAACCCCCCTGCCTAGCAGGGCCACCAAACATCCACATTCAGATCAGGTTGCCCAGGACCCCGTCCAACCTGGCCTTGAACACGTCCAAGGACGGGGCATCCACAACCTCCCTGGGCAGCCCGTTCCAGGGCCTAACTACTCTCCTTGTGAAGAACTTCCCCCTAACATCCAACCTAAATCTTTCCTCCTTCAACTTTGATCCATTTCCCCTAGTCCTGCTGTTGTCAGCCCTTCTGAAGAGTTTACTCCCCTCCTGGGTGTAGGTTCCCTTCAGGTATTGATAGGCTGCAATGAGGTCGCCCCGCAGCCTTCTCTTCTCCAGGCTGAACAAGCCCAACTCCCTCAGCCTGTCCTCATAGGGGAGGTGCTCCAGCCCCCTGATCATCTTAGTCGCCCTCCTCTGGACCCTTTCCAAGATCTCTATGTCTTTCTTGTACTGAGGGCTCCACACCTGGACACAGTACTCCAGGTGGGGCCTCACAAGAGCCGAGTAGAGAGGGACAATCACCTCCCTGTCCCTGCTGACCACCCCTCTCCTGATGGAGCCCAGGATCCCATTTGCCTTTCGAGCTGCCAGAGCGCACTGCTGGCTCATGTTCAGTCTCTCGTCCATCAGGACCCCGAGGTCCTTCTCTGCCGAGCTGCTCTCAAGAGCACCTTAAGAAGGACAGAGCAATATGTACACAAAGATGGTTGTTCTGTTTTCTGTCCTCTGAAGCCTGATTCTCATCCCTAAAAACATAGCAGCACAAGATTATTCAGGATGGAAGGGACCTCAGGATGTCTCTGGTCCAACCTCCTGACCTCTGGTCCAAACCCTCAAGGGGTTTGCAATTCTACATCGCCCGTGTCTGAAGGAAAGATAGTCATAAACCAGCTTCACTGCTATTCATCAGGACTGGGGGAATTTAGCAAAAGTTCACTGGCTTGGACACCTAAATCAAGCTTTTTGGAACAGACAGTCCTTCTGATTCTTAGAATCTAAAACATTCTTACAAAACCAGCAAAAGCTATGTCTTACACCCAGCCTTCAGGTTGTCTTTATATCAGGACTGTATGCCTAAGACATACATTTTCCTTCAGCATGTAACACGCGCATCCAGGACTCTGCACAGCACAGCACAGTAGGGAGATGACCTCAGTGACACTACTGAGTGGCCTGATGTGCTCACGAGGCCAGAGGAATCCCCTGGAGGAGGATCTAACTGGAGCACACTTGGGCCTTTCCCATGATGTCTGCTGGCTGATAGAGCCCTGAGTGAGTGCTCTGGGATCCCAGACAACTTCCTCTCCTTCACAGAAGGCTTCCCTTGCTCCCTGAGCTGACAACATCTCTGTATGGAGGCCACTGTGGGGATAAACTTCTTGACCCACCAGTGTCCACAAGGGAATGCAGTTGGTTAAAGGTGCTGAATATTTCTGTTAGGATGCGGCTGTCACACAGAGCCTAAAGGTTCTGGGCAGCACTTGTGCTTTATAAATAAGTACAATTCACTTCATAATGTTTTTTTCTTAACAGTAGGTTTGCTCCAGGCCTTATTTTGTCTGGATTTCTTAATGGCTTCTCTAGAAATGTCAGCAGTTCCTCGAGGACAAGCAGTCTGGTAGCTACTGCCAGCCACATTAAGTTGAATATTTCAGAATTTGGCCATTTGGTGACCCTATTGTAAGAGAGGTGTTTTCAATGCAGAAATTATTTCTTTGCACTTGATTCTCCTGTCACAAACTATTTCCGTCAAACTGCTGCAAATATGCTCTGTAAGGCAGCTGTAATTCTGATCTTACA